TGCTGATGGTAACGAGAATTGCCTCTGAAAATGACAGCCTGAGCCTGGCACCCAGGCTGAGCGTGCTGCCAGGGCCGCGGTCCTAAACCAGAGAACGCGCTGTCATTTTGCTCCTTTGCATGCCTGCAGTCAGTTTGCAGAAAATAGTTTTAATGCCTGTGTGTGCACCTTCTTCCACAACAGTGCAAAGAAGAAGAAGATGGCTGACAAAATTCTACCTCAGAGGGTGAGTGGCACGTGCCGTCGCAGCCTGTGCTGGCGTGAGGCCGACTGGAGAGGCGCGGGGGAGCTGACGGTGATTTCTCTTCTTGCTTGGCTGTAGATTCGTGAACTCGTACCCGAGTCTCAGGCCTACATGGACTTGCTGGCCTTTGAAAGGAAATTGGACCAGACGATTATGAGGAAGCGCCTGGATATCCAGGAGGCTTTGAAGCGACCCATTAAGGTAGGAGCTGCATCCACAGTTAGCATCAGCGAGGTTTGGAAGCTTTTAGTTTAGTTTAGACAGCAGCTGGGGTCCTGTTTCTAAGTGTAGCTTATCAGGAATCTTAATGCTCTGACATAACTAAGAAGGGGAACCAGAAATACTTCTTTCCTTACTGTCTGCCCCCAGAGAGGTGCAATATGAGGCAGCTGGAAACATTCAGTTTTAGCAAAACATAAGCAAAATAGCCAGCCCTTTATTTCAGAATTAACACTAAGCCGATGCTTTTTCTCTCAGCAAAAACGAAAGCTGCGTATTTTTATCTCCAATACCTTCAATCCAGCCAAGTCGGACGCTGAGGACGGTGAGGGAACAGTTGCCTCCTGGGAGCTTCGTGTGGAAGGGCGACTGTTGGAAGATGTAAGTGTGAAACACTCAACCACAGCGGTGACTTTGTGGATCTGGAATTAGCAATGAAACCAGGTTCTTTGTGTTGGAGAGCGTAGCTAGGGGCTTGATATCCTCCTTCATCTCTGTTTTCCAAGGAGTCTGATGGTGACGAGACCGAGAGCCCAACTTGGAGACCAATGGGTGTCCCCCTTGGCAGGACACGAGTTATACAAAGTTCTTATAGCTCTAAGAATTAATGGTGAGAGCAGATCAGTGGCACTTGTGTACTTGGGCTCTGAGAACCAGAGCGCTTGCATCGTATGCAATTGCTGAATGATTTAATTCCCGCAAGCTCGTCTTTAACTCCAGTCTTGCACTTTCTGACTTGGAACTTGATTTTTCGTGCACATGTTGGTGAATTTAGGTATTCAGAACTTAAAGGAACGCTGTCGTGCACAGTGGCTGTGCTTGAGTGCGGAGACTTGCTGTCCTAACGCTTTTCCTTCCTGTGTTGCTTGCAGTCTGCTTTGTCCAAATATGATGCCACCAAGCAGAAAAGAAAGTTCTCATCCTTCTTTAAATCTCTGGTCATTGAACTTGATAAAGACCTGTATGGCCCTGACAATCACCTAGTAGAGGTGAGCTTCTTTTTGCTGTGTTACCTCTAAAAATGGGTTGGTGTTTCAGCAGTGTTTGCACATCCTTTGTAATTTGAGAGGTGGGGATACTTAAGGCTTGAACAAGTGGCTTGGAGGCAGGAGCTCTTGAATTCTTACCTTAGCTTTTCCTCTGATTTGCTGGGATCTGAACAAACGTATTAACTCTCGTTTCAAGCTGTAAGTGGGAATAAGGGGAACTTTCTCCAGGTGGGTGGGATTTACCGGCAAGCTTGTTGGGTGCCAGGCAGCAGGAGCAAAGGGAACCAAGTGTGGGGGTGTTTCTAAATGACCTCTCCTGTTCCAGTGGCACAGGACTGCTACGACTCAGGAGACAGATGGCTTCCAGGTGAAGAGGCCAGGAGATGTAAATGTGCGCTGTACTGTCCTTCTCATGCTGGACTACCAGGTAAAGTGTTGGGAGCAGCAGCGCTTGGGCACAGACTGACTGGAGGCTGCGTCTGTGGCCATCTCACCTCCCTGCACCTTTTGTTTCAGCCTCCTCAGTTCAAACTGGATCCCCGCTTGGCTCGGCTCTTGGGGATTCACACTCAGACCCGTCCAGTGATCATCCAGGCGTTGTGGCAATATATCAAGACCCACAAGCTCCAGGACCCCCACGAGCGGGAGTATGTCATCTGTGACAAATACCTCCAACAGGTAACAGCACAGCTGGAACAAGGGATGGTTTCGGCTCCTGTTTGTCAGCAGCCAGTGATGGCTGGCACTGAGCTCCCCTTCCTTCCCTTAGCCCTGTGTTTCTGTCACAGATATTCGAATCTCAGCGGATGAAGTTCTCTGAAATCCCACAAAGGCTTCACGCATTGCTTATGCCCCCAGAACCGATCATCATTAATCATGTGATCAGGTGAGACCGGTCCACTTAACTTCATATTTCCAGGAAGGGATGCGTGAGGCTGGCACAGGAAGCCGGTGTCACATGTTCTGATTTTCCCACGTTGCCTGTCTTTGCGTCTTTGTACAAGAACAGCCACCCCTTTCGTTTGCCACATCCCTCTTTTCCACAAGGCACTCCTACGTTCATGCTGTCATTTTGCATTACGCTTTTGTAGACAGAAATCTGTGTGGAGCAATCGCTTCCAAAATCAGTTCAGCTGAAGCTTACCCTTTTCTCTGCCTGCAATCCGTGTGCTGCGTCTTCCTAGGGGAGCTCCAATTTAGTGCTTCTTTGAGCTACTTCCTTATTTTGGCTTCTTTTTTATGGGTGCCCTTAGCGTTGACCCAAACGACCAGAAGAAGACAGCTTGCTACGATATCGATGTGGAGGTGGACGATACCTTGAAAACGCAGATGAACTCCTTTCTGCTCTCCACAGCCAGTCAGCAGGCAATCGCTGCAGGTAAGAACTCGGCTCCTTCGGGTCTGCCCTCCTCCCGGCTGGGTCGGAGCGTGTCTGGAGCAGGACAGGAGTTCAGCTTCTCTCTGCTGCACGTTCAGAAGCTGGAGTGGGACAGGTGGCTTTGCCTGGAAGCGTAGTTTTAAAGCAGATGGCTGGTGGGAAAACTGGTAATATTTAGAGCAGGAAACTGGGAATTGAAAATCCATCTGGCAGGTATAAGTCAACCAGGGAGTCTTTGCCTTCTCTTGATGTCTCTGTCTGACTTTTTCCCCTATTCAGCAGTTTAGTTGCTGTGCTTATCTCCTTCAGATTCATGAAACAATAGAGACAATTAACCAGCTGAAGACCCAGCGTGAGTTCATGCTGAGCTTTGCCCGAGATCCTCAGGGCTTCATCAACGACTGGCTACAGTCCCAGTGCCGGGATTTAAAGGTAAAAGCTTTGACTTTTGTGGAAGGTGGATCCAGTCACACGCTTCCCTCATTATAACCGGCTCCCACAGAGAGAGAGGCAATTTCCTGCTCAGAAAGGCAGACTAGAATTGGAGTCAAGTGTAAGAACCTGACCTGAGTGTACTGAAATTTCTTTGAGGAAAGAGGAGGAGGGGAGTAGGTTTGCTCAGCACAGCCAGAGCTTTTGCACTCCCTGAACCCTTTTGTCCTTTGTGCTCCAGACAATGACTGATGTTGTCGGGAATCCTGAAGAGGAGCGTAGAGCTGAGTTCTACTTCCAGCCATGGGCTCAGGAAGCTGTGTGCAGATACTTCTACTCCAAGGTGAGTGGGGCTCCGTCTCCATACCCAGTGGCTCAGAGTACTTGGCTCTCCTTTGCTTTGCTTGTAGATGCTGCTGATGCATCTCGGTCCCTTTTCCAGCTGGGTTCTGTGTTACTTGGGTGCTGTGGTGATGCACCCTCTGAGTACGTTCATGCTGCAATTCTGGCTTCTCTTGCAGGTGCAGCAAAGACGGCAGGAATTGGAGCAGGCCCTGGGAATCCGTAACACATAAGCTGCTCTGCTCCTTCCCAACCAGAAGGTATCATCGTTATTTGTGGAGACGGAGAGCTGCAGGCGACACTGTTAAGGCTCACATCATCCCACTCCGGCAGCGAAGCCCGCACCATTATTCATCCTGGCATTGTCCCAGTCGGGGCAACTCCAGGACACCTGAGGTCTTAGGAGGTGTGGCGAGCAGACAGGCTCCAAGGAGCACACGTTTCTACCTGATTTTCTTCCTGACTGTTGCCTTGTCGGTCCCAAGGTTTCCGAGAACCTCCCCTTGACTCCACACTGGTGATAGTGTCCTCAGCAGCCAGTGTGACTGCTGACTTGGAGCCTTCCTCAAGTTCAGAAGCCACAGCCCGTTCCCTTCCCAACTAGCATCTAGTTGTGGTGCGTGAGACCCGGCTCTGGGAAGCCTGGATCTGCTGTAAGGGTGGGATTCTGTGGCTGGTCTCTTCCCTGCCTCACTTAAAAGCCAGGGAGACACCGTGGGCAGGATGCTGTGAGCTGACATACCTCCCTGCCCTTACTCCCTCGCTCAGAGGGTGCTGCTGCACTGGGCTGCCTCATAGCTTCACTCTCCTGGACCGGACTGCGTAAATTGCTTCTCCCCCTGTCCGTTTTTTTCCCTGCCCTGCTCCCTCTGTGTTCGTTGACAGACTGTCGCAGGCCAGGCCCACAGGGGCATTGGCTTCCTGCAGGGATCACAGAATCACAGAATTGTTGAGGCTGGACAGGACCTCTGAGATCTGGAAGCGTTGGAGAGGCGACGCTTCTCTGTGCTTCCAGATGTCCCAGTGAACCACCCGGCTGCTTGTTTTCCCTGTAGCAGGGAGGGGATGCAGCCACTGCCTGGTGGGATTGTGCCAGGGCGCAGTGCTGTGGGCTTGTTCCTTGGGGACAGTTCTCCTGTGTCACTTGTGTGGGGACCAGAGGCTCCATCCCGTGAATCTGAGGGTGGAACGGGACAGTCCTTGGGAACGAACGTAGCTCCAAGCCTACATGAGTCAGCAGGTGTTTTAGTCAAGTTTTAGATTCTGGGGCTGCCATAAAGCCCAGCATGGTTCAGGAATGTACGAGTAGATTTCCTCTACTGGGAGTAGCAGCCCAGATACTTCGTGGAATGACTTACTAGTGAACTAGTTGTCAGGCGTAAGAGAACGGCTTCTCTTCACCTGGATCTCAGTATTTCTGCTCGGGACTAATGCAAATGGACTTGAAAGTTGGTCACATTCTCTTGGAAGAGCTGCAAAGTCATGTTACTGACAACCCCCCCCTCATCCCCACAGCCACCTTCGGTGTGGTTGGGAAGGTTGCTATGAGTTGGGGAGCCTGGGTGGCCCTACTCTTTGTGTCTGTGTTACTACATGTCTGTGAGTAATAGACTCTCGACTTCCCTTCTCCTTTGCCCCCTTAGGAGATGGCTCCTCTGTGCTCCTGGAGTGAAGGGCTTGGTGCTGAGGAAGCAGCCCACTGGCTCCTCAGGGTGATCACATGAAGGATGCCGAGTACTGCGTAGGCAAACATAGCTGTTGCAGAGTAACTGCTTTTCTTAACTGAATATTACTGTTTTCTCCACGGACCAAAATTTTTTTTTGTACTGTATCCTTGTAGACGTCACCCAGTTTTAATAAAAGCCTCTTGTGAAGGAAGCTGTCCTCCCTCCTGTGCTGACAGCACGCTTTCTCTCAGTAGCTGCCTTGGTGCATCACACTTATGTACTTGCCTGGGAAGGGACAGGATTTTCTCCACTTTTTTTTTTTTTTTTTTTTTTTAAACAAAGCCAACTAGGTTAACAGACTGGAGAGAAAACGTTCTTCATATTTTGGCCTTTTATAGAGCCTTTCATGTAAGTATCTCCTGGCTCGTTGAGTCTGCTAAGCCTTTGCAGAGTGGTTTTGTGGTAAACAAGCAAAGTAACTTGAGCAAAACTGGAAATCCAGTGGTCAAGCTGCTGATAAAATCTAGACAGCGCTGTTTCCACGCTGTGGTGCCTTGCAGAATTGTGCAGCCTTGTTACAAGCCCCAGGGGAGTCGGGGATAATTCTGAAAAGTACATACAAGGGTTTAGAACTATGCAAAAAGGGCATTACTCTCTTCACCCTGCCTGGTTTACACAAGTAGAGAAGTAATGCGTTACAGAAAACCCTTATTTGCATTTTTTTTCTGTACGGAGAAAAGGACGTTTGCCTCGCATCAGGCAGCTGCTGCTTCAGGAGCTATGTCCTGGGTCTGCAACCAGCTGGTTTATGTTTCTTACTAGTGAGCCAAATGGCGCTTCTTGGGAAGAGGGGGAGAACAAAATGCTCTCGCGTGGAAAAGGGGAGAGAGGCTCAACAGTCGCCACCCCCAGTTCTGCTGAGATGTGGTATCAAGGCGCAATCTGCCCCTGCGGCACAGCTCCTGGCGCTGTCGCCCACCGA